GGCTGCTCTATTCATGTATTGCAGCCAGTTCAGCAGAGAATATTGCATGCTAAGTCTTTGGCTCCCAATCACAGGTGGGGAAGAGGAGCAATTTCTCTCACATTCCTGTGCTTTGCTTTGTGTTCCCATTTTGTTCATTCACTAGGGAGAGCAGGACTGTCTTATGTTCACTGTAATGGAAAAGAGATGTCCAGCTACAGTCTGAAATCTTTTAAGTCCAAGGGAAGGAACCAGTGAGTTTGGACAAGGTCCTGACAAATGCATTTGGACTATGTGATCCTGCTGCAGTCCTTTTAAATCCCATTTATTAGCTTTGGTGAGTTTGGGACGATTTAGCTCATTCGCATCATCACCATCTGATTATTTTATAACTGTAAAAGTGGTTTGTATGTGTAAATAAGTATCTAAATAAAATTCAGAGCAATAGACTATAATCTGAATAGAATTAGAAAGACTTTGCATTGATTTAAAGTCTTCTATTAAACACTGAGTATATTTCATTAGTTCTCTTAAGTACTCACCATGAAAAGATCTGCTCATTCCCTCTAATGAAACTGTGCTGAGTGCTGTATTTGCTTAAATAAAAAACCCATGTGGTTTCAAAATTCTGTTGCATTCTGCTGCTGAGGACTCCCTCCCTTTCCAAGGAATATACAAGGGACTGCTCACATTCTAAATAGTGTGGGGTTTTCCCAACCTGTGCCCAGTTGGAGAGGTCCTTATAATAAGATTATACCTTTTCTATTTCTGTGAGTGGTTTGGGGGTTGGAGGTTTTTTGGTTGGTTTTGTTGGAGGTTTTTTGTCTTGTTTTTTTTCTTTCCAGCCATTGCATAGTTAGCAGTACTGATGGTTCAAAGGTGCCAAAATCAAAAACCTAGGACAGAAAAGATTATTTAAGGGGAAAACAAGGCTTAGAAACAGCTTAAAAGGTTTGAATTGTCATTCTTTACTTTCTGTCCCTTTTATTTATTTAGATCTTCTGTGATATGTGTGGGTCACATTTTTCTGCAGTTCTCTAATACTGAGGAGGCTTAGAATTATGGTTTATGAATTTTAATGAAAGTTGAGATTCTTATGTAATCATATGCTGGGACTTTAATTAAATAACCAAATAGGAGGAGAACTGTATTTAGAAAGGCGAGAGCTGAAGATGCTAATTTTTCAATATCTTTGTTCTGCTTTAACATGGTATTTCAGGTATCTAATGCAGGCAGTGCTTTATACCATTCCTTACTCCTTTGCAGGTATTGCTGCCTTACTGAACATTAGTTTTACAACCACAAAACCTAAAAACTTCATTGTATTAATAGCAAAAACCTGAGTTTTAGAGCACAGGCTACCACCCTAAATGTTCAAAGTGAGCTAGCCCCCTTTCACCTCTCTTCTTCTGTCTGTGACTGTGATTTTGGTATTGGTGTCTTTTCCATTCCCACCTCCTCTTCCACTGGCAGTCCTCACACTCAGCTGGATGGGGAGTCTGTTTTCCCTGGGAACCTGTAAGTCCCTTATTAGGGGAGATTTAGTGAAGCTCATGTTTTTGGGCATTCATGAACGTGCAGGAGTTGTTCTTATTCCTAAAAGCTGCTTTCTCTTTAAATGTTAAAACTGTCAATAGCTGGGTTTCCAGGACAGTTGCAGATGAAATGTAAAGTAGCTCCTTTCCTTCTGAGAGAGACTGCACACATTTAATCTGTGTGGGAGTTTGATTTTGATTTTATCCCTCCTTTTCTGCTGCTGGTACACTCAGTCTTAGTTGCCTGGTCAGTAAGAATGACAAATTTGATGCTGTGAGGCTGTTTGCCATCACTCTGGACCAAAGTGATTCCAGAAAATTTTTAGAGAAGGTGTTGGGGTCTGCTGCAAACTCTTCTATTAGTGATAAACATAAATCCCCTTACTTCCAAACGTGGTTTTATGTCTGTATCTCTGTTTGCATGCATGCATCAATTAAACAGTATGTTATTTTCTTTTTTAATTATTTCAGAAGGTTGACTCACTCAAGTGGATTTATGCACACTGTGTTTTTCTGAGTTTTTGTAGGTAGTTTGTTGTTTGGTTTGGATTTTTTGGTTTGTTTGTTTTTAATACTGTTTTCTTCATCTTTTGATTTCTATAAAGCTCATAAAAATCGTGATTACCAAGTAGCCTAATAGGGCAGGCTTTCTTGCTTTCCTTTATTGTACTCCAGCGCTTACTGTTTGTCCATTCAAAGAAAATCCCAGGTTCAGAAGTAATCAAGCACAGCGTGGCTTGCTGAGCTAAAGGGTGTCATACTGAGGTAGTCATCCTTCTTCAGGATGTTGGCCTGGCAGAGGTTTTTCTTTACTTTGCTTTCTGTCTTAAAGCTTGAGATCTTTTTCTAAGTGTGATATCTTTTTAATTTCATTTTTTCTTCCTTCACCCCTTTGTTACTGTGGACCACTGCAGATATGCCAAGAACAGTGTAGCATGATATGAGCACTGTTTTCTAGATTGTGAGGAAGAAATGCATTTTAAAGCCAAGATTTTATAAAGATGGGAGGAAAAGGGTGGCTTCCTAGGTCGTGACTTTTACTGCCATGCTGGAAAACGGCCTAAAATTGGCAAAGGTCTCTTACCATCCTAGAACTCTTCCTTTGCTTCCTTGTGCTCATTGTTTCACCCTGTGACAGCTGTGACAGCCACAGGGTTAACTCAGCAGAGCATCCTGGCACAGGGGGACAGAACAGTGGTATGGAAATTACACTAGGGAAAATGGATCTATCAGAAAAAATACAAACGTGGCTGATGCCACAAAGGCACATTATAGAGAAATTAAACTGAATGAGGGTTGTGTGATTTTCTATAAGGAGTTTGCTCATAAAACGGTGATACAGTAAGCAAGGGTCACTGTGTTGGTTCCAATGCGTTAGTGACTTGTTCCCCTTCACTGGGGACTTTGGCCTCACTTCCATAAGTGATGTTGGTAGTTAGACACTGGGAAATGGAGCAAGGGTGAGTTGTTATAGTCTTCAGACTCCTTTTTCACTGTAACGTTGGCTGCTGCTGCAACACCCCAGGATTGCCCACACCAGATAGAGGGGCATGATTAGAGATTAGAGATAGGAAACAAAAGGCACCTGCAAGCTAGGGAGGAAGAGGAGCAGCAGTTCAGAGCAGGAGCTGGCTATGGGGCTGAAAGCTCTCTGTAGAGATGTGAAGCACCAAGCAGGAACAGGGAACAGGGTGAACAAACCATGCCTGAAGAATGAATGTTTAAGAGGACTTGATTTGGGTTTGAGGATTGAGTGGTGACCATGGGTAACCACCCCAGGACCAGTCAGTATGGTTTCCTGGGACTGGCTGGACTGGGAGCATCCCTGCATTTGGTGTACCTCCTCTGATGGGAACAATAATTCCAAGCTTGACCCTTGACTGTACTGATTATTTTTGGTGGCAATAATAAAGCAGCCCGTCACTTTTCAGTGAACTATGGATTCAGTGAGGGCAGGAGCATGCAAAACCTGGCAGGGGGTTCTTATGCTACACGTGGTTTTGAAGGTGTGGTATGTGCTGCCAAATGTCTGTAGAGCCTGGAGAACCACAGTGATCACAGCCAGGCCTGTAACATTAATCCTTTTTTCTTAAGTGTGAAATAACAGGCATATTTTTTGTGCTAATTTCACTGGTAGGAAGCTGTAGGTAAAGATATCCTTTATCACGCTGGGAATCACAGGTGGTCAGACTCAAGCTAAATTAATTTTCCTTTAGCCAAGTAAATTAAGAAAGTGGGAGTAACTTCCTCACAAGGCATAGGGGGTGGGTAGCAAAACTGAAGAGGTTTCTTGGTCCAGAGTGGCAGGAGCCTTGGAGGAAGCACAGGTATGAGGGGTTTGGCTAAGATTCTGTGAAAATATAACCTTTGGTAGATGCATCTCTTTGTAGTTTTTGCATGCCAGTTATTTACTGAGAGGCCAGCTTGCATGAATGTCAAATCTTGATTTTGTACTAGTAGGAAGCAAACATAACAGTATAGAGGAGTAAACAGGGAAACCTGCACAGCCAGTGTTTCCACCAACAGTATATGGAAAAGGAAATAATTGCACTAAAACAAGGGGGCCAGTCATGAGGCCATATCAGGTAAAAATATGGTGTGACATTTCTGATCTTTGATGCCTATCTGCATGCATGGTTTGTCTCCAGTTATGGAGGTAGATAGTTGTAAGTAATAACTTAAAATTTCCTTGGAAAAGGAAAGGGTAAGTAGGAACAGTTGATGGAGAAGATAAAGGAACCTCATCATATGAGATGCATGCAGCTTTCCTCATTTTTCAAAGTAGTTTTAATATCTTGTCTTGGAATATGTGTTTTGGAAACATGTTCTGCAATAAGCGTAGGTTGTAAATCTCCTCTGACCTGGGAGAAGGCATTTTCTTTGGAAAAGAATGTTGGGACAAAAGAGCAAGAAAATAGTAATAACTATAAGTCATTACCTGTCACATTAACCCTCCTATCATTCATTCATATGTTTTTATATTTGCATGAAGCAATGCTTGTATGCATAGGAACAAACACTATTCAGAAGAGATCTCTGAGTAGCTGTAAAAAAAGGCCATAATTCAGTGGAGAAACAGATCTAAAGCTGTCACTAACTATTGTGCTTAGTATAAAGCATACATTGCTATTTAATCAGATGTCCCCCAGTTTTGGTAATTTCCTTATTGATATATCAGCTGTCCTTCTGCCAGATCAGCATTAAACATCTGGCTAAAGTTTAATCTATGGCAGTGGGAATTTTATTGGCATGAGCAGTGTTGTGATGCCAAATGTGTTTTGGCTCTGAATGTAAAGGTACAGTGTGATAGTAACAACTCTCAAGTCTTCTCATCCTCATTATGAAGCTAAAAGCTGTGTGAAATAAATGGTAAAAGCTAACCTGCTCTTTCAAAGAAAATGTGTCATGGATATAAAAGCATGAATGTTTCAATTCAAGCTAATGAGTGCAATTTATCACTTACCTCTGCTTTTCTTTGGTTTTCAGCTCATGGGGCATTCTGAATGGGATCACAAACGAGGACCCAGAGGCTCACAGGTCAGTTACTCTGCATCTTGTGTTTGATTTTGGTTTTTTGGTAAATCTGAGGCATTGGAGTAAGTTTTCCATTTGAGATTGGCAAAGTTGTTAATTTTGTTAATATTTGCAGTATTGAATCAATGGAACAAAGCATAAAACCATGACAGCTTTCATTAATATAATTTTTGAGCTGTAATCCAAACAGGTGATTCATACAGAGCAACAGAAAGTTTCTTTAAGTAGCAGAAAAATGGATTAGTTGTATTGAGAAAGCATTTCTTGCTCAGCTGTATCCATCAGGACATCAAAGGGATGCAATTTCAAATAATATGTGTATGTTTGGTGTTTGCTGGGGTTTTTTTGAACCTGACAAACTTGTAAAACTTGGATAGCCCTCTCACCACTAATCTATTCATTACTGAACAAGGTGTTAGAACTGTGTGGGAAGGTGCAGGAAAGCCATGTGTAGCTACTGGTTTGTCCTTGACACATCATTGAAAGGAAATTATGCTAGTAGGGTAAGTGGCGTCACTTGATATGTTTTTAAATTATCTATAGAATTACAATTGCTGCAAATGAGACATTGCTACCAGTATTGGTGTTCAGCAATTTTCCTGGTTGGGTAAAGCAGTCTTTCCCATCTAGTGTTGAAATTATAAAAGTTAGAGCTCTGGTATTTTGGAATTGCTTTTACTTCAGGTGAAGGATTTTTATATGGATACCTTGTACAACAATCCAGACATGCCACAGAAATGTTAAAGGATCTATAAGAAGGTAGGAAGAGAAAATCATAGAATCATAGAACAGTTTGGGTTTGGAAGGCTCTTTAAAGATCATTTTGTTCCAAAACCCCTGCCATGGGCAGGGACACTTTTCACTAAACCAGGTCACTCGGAGTCCCATCCAACCTGGCCTTGAACTCTTCCAGGGATGGGGCATGCACAGCTGCTCTGGCCAACCTGATCCAGTGCCTCGCCACTCTCACAATAAAGAATTTCTTCCTAACATCTAATCTTTCAGTTTGAAGCCATTTCCCCTTGTCCTGTCACTACAGTTCCTGATAAAGAATCCCAAAATGACCCAAGCTCTCTGATAACTGTGTGCTATCCTAGTGCCAAGTCACAAGAAGCAAGGAATAAAAGTTTCATTAGAGGGAAGAAAATAAGCCTCAGTTATTCCACTGTAGCCTCAGATTATCTCTTTTACATGGCTCTGAAAATTGTCTTGATAGAAAGAGTGTTAAACCTAATTTAAGTAGTTCCCAGGAGGGTTTTGAGAAATTTAGGTTCTGATTTTTGCCCTTATTATAAAAGACCTGTTTTATCCTTTTGTGGTCCTGTTGCATTGTTGCCAGCTTGTCTTTAATCAATGTACCCATTGTTAAACAAGATCTTGCTTAAAAATGAAGGTGAGGGATGCGTTAGGGATACTTCTGGTTCAAACCTAAAGCATCAGGTGTTTAAAGGTGGAGCGGCAGTTACCTGCAGGATCTGCCACAGGGTTGCTTATGGTGTTTCCCTAGGTCAGGAGGGCTTTCCATCAGCACAGAAGTGGGACTTGGGAGAAGAGGCCTCTCCTGGACAATGGTAGTGGAACCTGTGCTGCCCAGCAAGCAGTGAGGGGAGAGTAAGGAGCAGGGAGGGGTTTAAGGTTAGGTTTTTGGGAGGCAATTTATTAATCTTCTATGATCTTTTAATTCATCGGAGTAATGAGAGGAAAGTGGGAAGATAGATCTTAGGAAGCCACCTGTGTGTGTGGATGTTAGAAACGTCACTTGTGAGAACAGAAGGTGCAACCTCTGGTTTACTATAATGCAAAACTAAAATCCACATATGAACCTGTAATGTTATTTTTCCAAGACTCATTACAAAAGCTCTGATCCAGCGAAGATTTTTTTTAAGAGCAAGTAGGTTTTCTATGGCATGTGTTGAAACATGAGAGCAGACTACTACAGTGCATGTCATACTTCTTAATGACCCACTCGGAAAACGTGTTCCTTTCTGCACGTAGGAGTTAAATGCAAAGTGCTGCAGTTACAGGTAGCGATGGATGTCAGATGAAATACACCGAGGCTTGTGGGAATTTCTGTTTGCAGGAGTTTGTCTCGTGATAAGCATCTGCAATTCAATAGAATGTAAATGGGACAAGTAAAAAGCTGTCTTTACAATATTTAACTTGCTCCTGACTTCTACACCACCATTACACTTCCCTTTTTAATATATTGCGTGGCACACACACACACACACACATGTACGTGTGTATGTTGTAGGATTCCTTTTCTTTCAGAATAATTATACTATTAAGGTTGCTGTAATTAGAGTGAATTATAGGTTGCCTTACAAAGATCAATGAGTTCCTGGCTACCTACTTGGGTTTTTTTTTCCTTCCCTTTTTCTTCTCTGAAGACAACACTTCCTGCTGTAAGTGCTTCATGCAGAGAATTTACTCTACGGATTTGAAATCAAACAGAAAGGGCAAAGTGAATTTCATTATGTTCTATCCTTAATTTGCAAACTTAATACAGGCTAGAATTTAGAATTCAGGCATGAAACTTCAAAATTGAATTCCAAATTAAAGAAATTCCTAAACATTTAATCCACTTAAAGAAATCTCTCTCAAATATACACATGCAGTTCTGTAGAACCACATCATCTCACTCATGTGAGGGGAAAATATCCCTACCCATTTGTAATGTCAGCACATGCTGCAAGAAAATGTGACTAGCAGAATTCATCCTTGGCATGTTATTGCTCTGCAGAAAAATTATGCAAATTGTATTTTAATCATTCTGCTAAAACACAGTACTTGATGCTTCTAAGATGTTTCAGGTGGGACCCACGGCACGCTTTGTGCACACGTTTTTATGAGGGACCTTGAACGTGTGGGAGTAATTTGTTGCTCTGTCATCAGGACTTGTTTGGCTTGCTGGAGATGTAGGCGTAGCCCCAGGAGTCAGTGGAATCGAGCGATCGTTCCTCCAGCATTGTAAAAGAACGAGAGAGAAACACAGGTCCAGCGCTTTTAATTCTCTTTAAATATAAAAGCTCTCAATTATATATCTGAGGTGCTGCATTTTACCCCTCCAGTTCCTAAGCAACAGCTATTTTCAGATTGAGTGCGTCTGGTGTTGTCTACCTACTTCAGGCTTTTATGAGGTGGCTCATCAGTGAAAGCTGGGCTGTTCTCTGTCTCCACTGGCTCCCTTTGTCGTGGCACTGTGAGGAGACAGATGCTTTAGAGAGACGGGAGAAGCTTGGGTGTAACCAATCTCGACCTTGCAGCTCACAAAAAACTTGTGTACCTCGGGGAGCTCTGCCATCTACAATGAAGCACAGGAGTCAGAAATAAGGTTCTTGACACTGGTTTGGAAGAAGCCTTTTTCTCAAGTCCGGAAAAGCCTCTAGAGCAGATTCGAGACCATGAGCCGGAAATCTCTGTACTTGCTGAAGCGTAGGTGGGAGTCGATTCCCGCTGCTGACCAGGTACAGTGCTCTGGTGAACCTGTTGTGTCTCTGTCTACCCTTGCAGTGCCACTGTAAAGAGATTTATGTTGATTTAGTGGGGGTGGTTGGGGTCCTCTGCATACAGAGAGAACCAGCTGGTTATTACTTGTCATTTCCGTGATGAATACTGCAAAATATTCATAAAGCTGATTTTGCAGGAGCGTGTGCTTGTGAATGTGGAGATGCCATGACAGCCCACTAATGCAGACTTTTTTTTAACCAACAGAATCTCACTGTCTCAAAAATGAGACTTTTCTAAAGGCTTTAGGAGTGCTTTAAACTGAGGGGCTGAGGAAAAGTATAGTCTACTGTCGAAGTAGTGCATGTCCTTGGTGCATCCCATACCTTACACATATGTATAGATGTATGAAACCACTGCTGCACTGGCAGAACCTCAGCGTTTTCAGGATCATCTTGGTTGATGCGTCATTGCAAGTATGTTAACAAGGGTGGGAGTAAAGCAGATGTAAACAGAAAATATGTAAACATCTGCTGGGCAAAACAGATGTAAAAAATGTGGGATGCTGTTTAGAGCAAGCATTGTCACCATAAGTAGGACTGAGATGAGGTGAATGGCAGTACAATTAGTATATTTCCTGCTTCTTGATCCAGGCACTCCAGGGTTCTTTGATTTTTTTTTTCCCCCCAGTATCTTGGTATGTAAAGGCACTAAAAAAAATAATTCTCAAGATAATATTGAAAGGAAAGTGGAGGTGCTTGCTTAGTACATGTTTCAACTCAGTATTCTGTTTATAAAACGGTTGACTATGAAGAAGTGCCTTTATCAGTGATAAAGAGGAAATTCAGGAGAAAATTCTTCAACAGAAAGAAGGATGGACATCAAAAATGCTTCCCAGTTTTTGAGAAGCATCCTCCTGTACACTTTTTTATTGAGAGAGGGAAGGGCAGATTACATGCCATATTTTATAGAATTGTAGAATTTTAAAGCTAAATTAGACCACTGAGAACATCTAGGGATCTCAGACCTATTACTAGTCAAAAAATACTGTCACATCATAATTCACAATAAAATAATAAAGACGTAGTTGATGAATAACTTTTCATTGTATTGAAGTGGAATTGAATTGATACAGTTCAGTTAGACTCTTTAAAATCTCCTGGTAAAAGAGGGGTAAATAAATACTCTCTTGTGAAGTGAGTCATTTGTAATCTTGTTTCTATTGAGATGTAGAGACACTAAGGTTGTTTCAAAGGAAAGCTGTATTTCAGCCTCACTTTTCCAGCATTTCTTTTTCTTTTTAATCACTCTAACCTAATGTTGCAATGCATCATACTGTGTTTACAGTACGATGTGTCTGGGAAAAATAAGTATTCCTTACCTAGGTGTGGGGTGTGCTTGACTGCACTGAGCTGTGCATCCATTCCATCATCAGTCCCTCAACCCCTCTGAAGGGTTTTAAAAGAGGGAAGGAAGGAAATTTCCCTGACCCAGCTACCACTTCAGGAAAGTGAGACTCAGTAAGTGATGCACACAGATAGGGTTGATTTGGGCAT